GCTGTGCGACTTGTGAAGGATGTGTGCTGCTGCACTTTGCCATCGGTAATTTATTTTCCTCACGAGCCAGAGACATGGGCCACCTGGTAATTTATGGCTGATGACCCTGTGTGGGTGAGCTGGACGCGTGATTTGCTAGGGACTGATGTCGGACAGATTGGGTGTGGGAGAAGTTATGGTGTCACTTCTTGAGAGATGTTGCGGTGTCCCCGGGCAGGCGAGAAGCAGCCCATGAGCTGCGTGCTGTCGACGTGCAAGTATAAATGAGGTCGCGCTGTCGTGGTAAGCGCCAGGAGTGGAGGAAAGTGCGCGCCCGACACGTCGGTTTTGATGCGGTTTGGCGTGGTATCTTGCCCGAGTGGTCTAAGGGGGCGGACTTAAGATCCGCTAGACATACCAGTCTGCGTGGGCTCAAACCCCACAGATACCAAAGCTATCCTTCTACACCTTGTGGTGTTGTGTGCGGCGCAGCGTGTAATCGCGCTGTGCGACTTGAGAAGGATGCGGCTGCTGCACTTTGCCATCGGTAATTTATTTTCCTCACGAGCCAGAGACATGGGCCACCTGGTAATTTATGGCTGATGACCCTGTGTGGGTGAGCTGGACGCGTGATTTGCTAGGGACTGATGTCGGACAGATTGGGTGTGGGAGAAGTTATGGTGTCACTTCTTGAGAGATGTTGCGGTGTCCCCGGGCAGGCGAGAAGCAGCCCATGAGCTGCGTGCTGTCGACGTGCAAGTATAAATGAGGTTGCGCTGTCGTGGGGAGCGCCAGGAGTGGAGGAAAGTGCTCGTCCGAGACGTCGGTTTTGATGCGGTTTGGCGTGGTATCTTGCCCGAGTGGTCTAAGGGGGCGGACTTAAGATCCGCTAGACATACCAGTCTGCGTGGGTTCAAACCCCACAGATACCAAAGCTATCCTTCTACACCTTGTGGTGTTGTGTGCGGCGCAGCGTGTATTCGCGCTGTGCGACTTGAGAAGGATGTGTGCTGCTGCACTTTGCCATCGGTAATTTATTTTCCTCACGAGCCAGAGACATGGGCCACCTGGTACTTTATGGCTGATGACCCTGTGTGGGTGAGCTGGACGCGTGATTTGCTAGGGACTGATGTCGGACAGATTGGGTGTGGGAGAAGGTATGGTGTCACTTCTTGAGAGATGTTGCGGTGTCCCCGGGCAGGCGAGAAGCAGCCCATGAGCTGCGTGCTGTCGACGTGCAAGCAGAAATGAGGTTGCGCTGTCGTGGGGAGCGCCAGGAGTGGAGGAAAGTGCTCGTCCGAGACGTCGGTTTTGATGCGATTTGGCGTGGTATCTTGCCCGAGTGGTCTAAGGGGGCGGACTTAAGATCCGCTAGACATACCAGTCTGCGTGGGTTCAAACCCCACAGATACCAAAGCTATCCTTCTACACCTTGTGGTGTTGTGTGCGGCGCAGCGTGTATTCGCGCTGTGCGACTTGAGAAGGATGTGTGCTGCTGCACTTTGCCATCGGTAATTTATTTTCCTCACGAGCCAGAGACATGGGCCACCTTGTTAATATATGGCTGATGACCCTGTGTGGGGTGAGCTGGACGCGTGATTTGCTAGAGACTGATGTCGGACAGATTGGGGTGTGGGAGAAGGTATGGTGTCACTTCTTGAGAGATGTTGCGGTGTTCCCAGGCAGGCGAGAAGCAGCCCATGAGCTGCGTGCTGTCGACGTGCAAGCAGAAATGAGGTTGCGCTGTCGTGGTAAGCGCCAGGCGTGGAGGAAAGTGCGCGTCCGAGACGTCGGTTTTGATGCGGTTTGGCGTGATATCTTGCCCGAGTGGTCTAAGGGGGCGGACTTAAGATCCGCTAGACATACCAGTCTGCGTGGGCTCAAACCCCACAGATACCAAAGCTATCCTTCTACACCTTGTGGTGTTGTGTGCGGCGCAGCGTGTATTCACGCTGTGCGACTTGTGAAGGATGTGTGCTGCTGCACTTTGCCATCGGTAATTTATTTTCCTCACGAGCCAGAGACATGGGCCACCTGGTAATTTATGGCTGATGACCCTGTGTGGGTGAGCTGGACGCGTGATTTGCTAGGGACTGATGTCGGACAGATTGGGTGTGGGAGAAGGTATGGTGTCACTTCTTGAGAGATGTTGCGGTGTCCCCGGGCAGGCGAGAAGCAGCCTATGAGCTGCGTGCTGTCGACGTGCAAGTACAAATGAGGTTGCGCTGTCGTGGGGAGCGCCAGGAGTGGAGGAAAGTGCGCGTCCGAGACGTCGGTTTTGATGCGGTTTGGCGTGGTATCTTGCCCGAGTGGTCTAAGGGGGCGGACTTAAGATCCGCTAGACATACCAGTCTGCGTGGGTTCAAACCCCACAGATACCAAAGCTATCCTTCTACACCTTGTGGTGTTGTGTGCGGCGCAGCGTGTATTCGCGCTGTGCGACTTGAGAAGGATGTGTGCTGCTGCACTTTGCCATCGGTAATTTATTTTCCTCACGAGCCAGAGACATGGGCCACCTGGTACTTTATGGCTGATGACCCTGTGTGGGTGAGCTGGACGCGTGATTTGCTAGGGACTGATGTCGGACAGATTGGGTGTGGGAGAAGTTATGCTGTCACTTCTTGAGAGATGTTGCGGTGTTCCCAGGCAGGCGAGAAGCAGCCCATGAGCTGCGTGCTGTCGACGTGCAAGCAGAAATGAGGTTGCGCTGTCGTGGGGAGCGCCAGGAGTGGAGGAAAGTGCTCGTCCGAGACGTCGGTTTTGAAGCGGTTTGGCGTGGTATCTTGCCCGAGTGGTCTAAGGGGGCGGACTTAAGATCCGCTAGACATACCAGTCTGCGTGGGTTCAAACCCCACAGATACCAAAGCTATCCTTCTACACCTTGTGGTGTTGTGTGCAGCGCAGCGTGTATTCGCGCTGTGCGACTTGAGAAGGATGTGTGCTGCTGCACTTTGCCATCGGTAATTTATTTTCCTCACGAGCCAGAGACATGGGCCACCTGGTAATTTATGGCTGATGACCCTGTGTGGGTGAGCTGGACGCGTGATTTGCTAGGGACTGATGTCGGACAGATTGGGTGTGGGAGAAGGTATGGTGTCACTTCTTGAGAGATGTTGCGGTGTTCCCCGGGCAGGCGAGAAGCAGCCCATGAGCTGCGTGCTGTCGACGTGCAAGGATAAATGAGGTTGCGCTGTCGTGGGGAGCGCCAGGAGTGGAGGAAAGTGCTCGTCCGAGACGTCGGTTTTGATGCGGTTTGGCGTGGTATCTTGCCCGAGTGGTCTAAGGGGGCGGACTTAAGATCCGCTAGACATACCAGTCTGCGTGGGTTCAAACCCCACAGATACCAAAGCTATCCTTCTACACCTTGTGGTGTTGTGTGCGGCGCAGCGTGTATTCGCGCTGTGCGACTTGAGAAGGATGTGTGCTGCTGCACTTTGCCATCGGTAATTTATTTTCCTCACGAGCCAGAGACATGGGCCACCTGGTAATTTATGGCTGATGACCCTGTGTGGGTGAGCTGGACGCGTGATTTGCTAGGGACTGATGTCGGACAGATTGGGTGTGGGAGAAGGTATGGTGTCACTTCTTGAGAGATGTTGCGGTGTCCCCGGGCAGGCGAGAAGCAGCCCATGAGCTGCGTGCTGTCGACGTGCAAGCAGAAATGAGGTTGCGCTGTCGTGGTAAGCGCCAGGAGTGGAGGAAAGTGCTCGTCCGAGACGTCGGTTTTGATGCGGTTTGGCGTGATATCTTGCCCGAGCGGTCTAAGGGGGCGGACTTAAGATCCGCTAGACATACCAGTCTGCGTGGGTTCAAACCCCACAGATACCAAAGCTATCCCTCTACACCTTGTGGTGTTGTGTGCGGCGCAGCGTGTATTCGCGCTGTGCGACTTGAGAAGGATGTGTGCTGCTGCACTTTGCCATCGGTAATTTATTTTCCTCACGAGCCAGAGACATGGGCCACCTGGTACTTTATGGCTGATGACCCTGTGTGGGTGAGCTGGACGCGTGATTTGCTAGGGACTGATGTCGGACAGATTGGGTGTGGGAGAAGGTATGGTGTCACTTCTTGAGAGATGTTGCGGTGTCCCCGGGCAGGCGAGAAGCAGCCTATGAGCTGCGTGCTGTCGACGTGCAAGGATAAATGAGGTTGCGCTGTCGTGGGGAGCGCCAGGAGTGGAGGAAAGTGCGCGTCCGAGACGTCGGTTTTGAAGCGGTTTGGCGTGGTATCTTGCCCGAGTGGTCTAAGGGGGCGGACTTAAGATCCGCTAGACATACCAGTCTGCGTGGGTTCAAACCCCACAGATACCAAAGCTATCCTTCTACACCTTGTGGTGTTGTGTGCGGCGCAGCGTGTATTCGCGCTGTGCGACTTGTGAAGGATGTGTGCTGCTGCACTTTGCCATCGGTAATTTATTTTCCTCACGAGTCAGAGACATGGGCCACCTGGTAATTTATGGCTGATGACCCTGTGTGGGTGAGCTGGGTGACTTATAGTTTGTATTAAACCCAAACTTTATCTACCTATAAATATACTCAGTTTACAATCTACCTTATTTAGGTCAGTTCGCTCTCTTTTAAGGTCACTTCGCTCTCTTTTAAATAAAGAGTGGACCTGTGAACTGCCGTTCACTGAGAGTTTGTATACTCTCGGAAGATAACTTCCTCTATTATATTAATAGCGCGCTGTGTGACCCCGTCACTTAAAGCCTGAGTTCCAGAAGCTAAAGTTCTATAATCAGAGAACTTTAGCTTAGGAGGAGCGATTATCTGGATAAAATCTGTATAAATGACGTATATATTACCGATCGACATTTCAGTAATTTATTTCAGTGGAATAACGCGACCGCTATTCAACTGGAATATATTTCCGTACGAAGAAAATTCTAATTGCAAAGCCTAAGTTATTCCAGAAACTAAAGTTCTCTGATAACGTTAGGTGGTGTCTAACGAAAGCATTAAGATTGGGGTAAGGTTTACTACATGTATAAGCTGACTGCGTTCGCATAATGAACGACGTGCTTATTCCGAGTCCTCCTCGTCCACGGTGCGTCGCTTCTTGTGGCTGCGGATAACCATCTCCTCCTCTTCATCGTCCTCACCTTCGCCCACACCAGCGTCGTTGTCACTGTCAGATCTCTCACCTTCACGCTCACGCTCGAGTTCACGTTGGCGTTGGCTGCTGCGGTACTCGTCAAAGCCGCCGCCAGGTACCGGGCGACGGACGCCATGCTTTCGGTGCACCGCTGAGCTTTTACGCTTACCAAACTGCTCCTTGATGGCACCCACGTGCTCATCGTCGTCGTAGTCGATGGCATCGTAGCCCTCCTCTAAGAACTGAGCATCCATGCGCGAAGAGCGCTCGCGATCGTACTCGTAACCCTGACGCGCCTTCTTACGGTTCTGCAGGCGTAGCTTTTCGTCCGTGATCTTGACACGCTGCTCCTGTTCACGCTCGCCATCGAGCTCAGAGATGTACTCCTTGAGCTTCTGTACACTCTTGTTGTGCTTGGCGCGCATGGACATGGTGAGACTTCTGTGGGACTTGCTAGCTGTAGTCATGGGACGGATCGTGAACTTTTCCTTAAGCCGTGCATGACACTCCAACACACTCTCCTGTCCTGGGACCACATCGTCACTGTCCTGGAAGTGCGGACTATCACTCGCCATCTCGTTCACGAATAGGAACGAATTGGCCAGTTTCTGACGAGACAGCGTCAACGCCTCCTTGCCTACAAACATGGAGAACGTGCCGTCCTCCCACTGCACCAGTTTAGAGTTGGATTCGCGCAGCGGTAGCTTGGTCTTGTCGTCCAGCAGCACGCGGCCGGTAGCAGGGTCGCGTTTGTAGCGCCAGCGCACGTAGTTACGGTACAGTGTTTCGTCCGATGGGTTGTCCATCTCGGCTCGAATTGCCTCCTTAGTGTACGGCTCTGGCACGAGACGCAAGATATTGGGCATCTTGCTGATAAAGTACTTGGCAGTCTTGGGGGCCTTGGGAGTCTTGGGCAGCCACATGTTGTCTGAGTAGCCATTGTCTCCGTCACCTCCTCCGGATGCACTGCGGTCTCCGGCTTCATCACCGAAGAGATCCTCATTGCTGCGTCCTCCGTCACGGGCTGGTGATTCCTTGACTCCTCTGAACAGTCATAACATTAAATCTCAATAACCGACTAGAGGGAGATCAACTGTAGCAACTCGATGAGACGTACGAGGCCTTAAATTCTTCCTCCTCCGAGTCGTAGTCTGATCCGAAGAGATCCTCCATCTCCTTGTCTTTCTCTTCCTTTTTGGGGGATAACGCTCCTTTTTTCTCAACCCTCTCCTTATTGTCATCTTCTTCCTCGTCGCTGTCGTCGCTGAAGAGTTTGTCCGGGTCTACGGGCTTGCTGCTGCTACAAGCATCGCCGCTTGACTTGAGTGAGGACCCGCCAAGGTCAAACTCGTCCTCGCTGCTACTGCTGCTGCCCGACTGAGCCTCCGGGGACGACGCCATGACAAAGCTTGGCTGCGAGTACCGGTAGTCACTCTACTGGGTGATTAAAAATCTCGAGAATTTGGGTAACCTTAGCAGAATGGTACCGATTATGGGTACAGTTCACTTTCTGCCTCAATTGCTGCAAGCAGACATTTCTTGGTGACTATGGAGCAGATCATGCAGATGCAAGACGATATCCACAAGCTCAAGAAGCTGATGGACTCGGTATTCGACAAGATGTAGGTGCTGCGGCTATACCGCCGATCGATGCAGCGCTTCAGCGCTGGTGTGCGAGAAACAAATATGGTTGCAAATTCTAACTGCTCAATCACTACGTGACTTGTGGCAGCGAGAACCAGTCGGAGCAGTGTCCGTACGATACCGCCGATGCCTACAGTGAGTACTGGCCCTGGTACTTGGGTGCTGATGCATACGATGTGCTGACTTTGGGTGTTGTGATGGCGCTTGCAGCGGATAAGGACCGGATCGTTGAGATGCTTAATCGTCTGAGCTCCAGGGTGGGTCTACGACAACTTGTTACCTTATTGGCAATGCAAAAAAGCTGAAAAGGCTGGTGCGGTGTACTTCATAGATGGCCGACGCTGACATGTCGAACCTTACTGCGACGCCGACGAAGGACGCCACACCGGAGGACATCGCGGTACGATGCTACCTAGACTACAGTAGACACCCGCGAATACTAACTGACATGTTTGTTGCTTTTTGATCGCAACAGGAGCTGAAGCAGGGCATCAACCGCATCGAGGCAGAGCGTCAGAACATCAATCGCCGTGCTGGCGCATCGCTCAAGGGGGTCTTGTAATATATTCACGGGCGAGGGTGCTGCTATTCACAACGATGCCTGACCAGCCTTGCTAATCTGTTAGCGTACCGGTACTGCTGCCCCCACCACTAAGCTCAAATGTATCTGAATTAGCAACCTCGATCTTATCGCTCCATCCGCCTACTGGGTCGTCCACCAAGCTACTCGTTAAAGTCGAACTCATGCGAGTTGGCCCATATATCGTTGGTGATCGCCTTCACGTCCTCCTTGTGGACACCGCCATTGAGCGATCGCTTCGGCGACTGAGATGCCGGGGGAGGCGACCCAAGCTTGCTACGCTTGACTGCCCGATCCAGAGCGTCGTGTTTGGCGAGCTCCTCGTGTGCCACCTCCTCTGCGATCTGTTCCCACAGTCCAGTTGTCTTCAAGTAGATCTCCAGAGCAGAGGCACTCTCGAAACGATCTTCACCAGACACGGCTGTCTTCGGGTTGGCGCTGGGCTTGAAGTAGTCGTACTCAAATCGCCCAGGTCGGTAATACCAGCCTCGTCCAATGAGCTTCTTCAAAACTGTACCAAATTTCATCTTGGGCAGTCTGGAAAACCTCTTCTCGAGTTCAGCAGCCTCTGCCGCCTCAGCAGCTTCAACTTCAGCCTGATAGAGACTTTGCGAGGAAGGAGGAGGGTTACTGGAAGTCTTCTTAGGAGCCTTCTTGGACTTTTTAGACTTCGGAGCAGGTGCGTGAGGCGTCAACACCTTAGTCGGAGGCCCATAAAGTGCAAGGTTGCGCTTCCGTGCCGCTTGCTGCTCCAATCGCTGGTGGTGTCTCTCCAGAGCCTTTTCGCGCTCTTCATCCACCACCAGGTCGTGCTCTTGTCGAAGTTCATCCTCGATGCGCTTCCACGTGCCACTCACCTTCAAGAAATCCTCAAAGTCAGCCTGCGACTGGAAGTAATTGACATTAAGCTCCTTGGTCGCCTCTGTGTACGTGGGGGAGAAGTAATCATACTCGAAGACTCCGTTCTTGTGGTACCATCCCTCATCCTGCAGTTTTGCGTACACAATTCCAAACGAGCATCTGAATTCGGGAGCGACGAAGTTGAAATCATCTCCCTTGCTGACTTCCTCCACGACTGCTTTCTTCTTCTTCTTTGTTGCGGATTTCTTCGCGCTGGGTTTAGCTGTCTTCGCCTTCTTATTGGACGACGAGCTCTTCGACGTCTTAGATGTGGACGACGAAAGTTTGCGCTTGGCACTGGAAGAGCCTGGGCCAGGCGATACGTGCTTAGGAGTGACGAACTTGGCACTCGACGATGACGACGGGGTAGCCCGTTTAGCACTCTTCACGGCTGGCGACGGGGTCTTGAACAAAGAGGTCTTGGCTTTCTTCGGAGCAGACGCAGGTGCCGGCTGTACACGTGGTGCGAAGGAAATGACCTGGTGACCCTCAGCAGAGTCACCCAGTTCAATTTCACCCACTTCAACGGCCAGACATTTCAGCACAGCACGCTTTTTATTCTGGAAAACTGTCTCGTTCGGTAGGAAGTTCTCAAATTTGGTGTTGGGCTTGACGTACCACGTCTCGACGCCACACGTCATAGTGAACCATCCAAACTCCTTCTGCACTATAGGCCAGAGCATTTCCCAGAGCTCTTTATCCTCGTTATCCACGGTTTTCTCGCCCGCGAGCTGAATGAACTTCCAGCAAGCCTTGATCTTCGAGTCGAACACGTTAATGTTGGGCTTAAAGTTGAAGAATTGCACACCCGGCATGGCGCAGAACAGCGTGTTCATACCTTGGGCAATCTGCCACCCACCGGTCTCCACCAGCTTGGAGACGGCGGGAAACACCTTGGTGAACTTGCCTTCCGCACCTTCAGCTCGGAACTCTTCAGGCGTCTCGTCTTCAGCCGCCTCCTCCGCTTCCGTTAGTCTCTCTACAATGGGGGCGGGAACAACAGGAGGTTTCGAAGCCTTCAATGGCGACGATCGCAGCTTCGCAGGAGAGCGAGCTTTAAAGGGAGATCGCATTTTGGCTGGTGACGAGCGGGCCTTTACAGGGGACGACTGCACTTTGGCCGGAGATGAGCGAGCCTTCACAGGCGACGAACGCACCTTACCAGGAGATGAACGGACTTTAGCAGGAGACGATCGGACCTTGGCGGGCGACTCGCTCACCTTGACGGGCGACCGGGTGGTCGCAGGGCTCATTGGAGGCTGCTTCTCAGCTTCCGCCACCTCCTCGCCCATGCGTTCCTCCTGCGCCAGCACTTGTGTGGTTGGGTAGTCCATGTCTTGATCGGGCTCGTCCTCCGAGCTGCTGCCGCTGGAAGTGCTCGAGTTGTCCTCGCGCTTCTCTTCCTGCTGCGCTGCGGCCTCCGCCTCGATGTCCGCAAGCGTCTTGTGTGGTCCCCGGCGCACACTGACGTCGACGTGAGAGTCAAAGGCGCTCGTGTCGTGGAAGCTTCCAGTCAGGAGGTCCATCGGGTCCATGACGGCCAGCAGATATATATAGCGCTGGATGAGCTCTCCACGGGACTGTGTGTAAGTAAATAAGGCACATAAACCTGTCCAAACCGATCACCGCAGATTCAAACGATCAGAACGCGCGCCAAAACTGCGCGCGCATTCCTTCCCGCATTCCGCATCCAAAGCGCAACACTCAGCAGCATTTAAAGCTAAGGGATCGATCGTTAGCATGACGCCTACCGACTGTGACGCGACGGCGCTGCACTGGGTCAAGCTGCGCACTATGCAGGTCTTCTGGCCCGCATGCGTGTATAAGAGCTACTCGGCCGCTGTGGCGCACACGCACGACGTGTTGTCGCTGCGTAACGACAAACCCGCGCTGGATGCCGAGGACCGCCTCCTCTACTTCTTCGGCGTGGGCCCGCGAGCCTGCCACGTGGTAGCGACGGGCTCTGCGCCCAACCTTCAGCTGTGCGTGGTACACGAAGACGACCTCACACTGGAGCCCTGGATGACCGCCGGGGACTTCCCCGAGCTCTGTGATAAGCACCAAATACCCGAGGATATCGTCACACGCGCACAGAACAACGCATGCTTTCTACGTGCCTGCGAGGAGGTCTCGACATTCGCTCGTGACGTGCACACCGACGAGCAGGCTAGCGAGCTGTTCGTGACGTTTTTGACAATGGCCAAGAAGGCCCACGAGACCGGCAAGGCTGTCGTAGTGCGAGAGATCATCCCATCGCCTGCGAAGGCACCGGAGAAGACAAAGAAGACGAAGCAGAAGGTCGTGGAGGAGAAGAAGTCAGCCGACGTGTACAAGCTACTCAAGACGCCGGCCATGACAGCGATGGTGGCGAAGTGCTGGCAGCAGATGCTGGAGACTGGCTGGGAGACGATGACACAGGGCGACGGACAGGTGCTGTACAAGATGCCAGGCACGAGCTTCTTCGATTTTGTCCCGAACGTCAACCTCTTCGACTCGCTCGAGAAGGCTTGTGGACGGTACTTGAGCGACTGGGTCAAGTCAACGGCTGTTGACGACTCTAGTGAGGATTTCTCCGAGCTGACGGAGTTCCTGTGGCCCATGGCGGCGGGGAGTGGCTGGGAGAGCATGGTGACAAACACCGAGACGCTGTACAAGAAGGCAGACTTGCCGTTCGACCAATGGGTACCCAATGTGACGATCTTCCGCTCTAAATCTCAAGCCGTGGCCAAGTATCTGGAGGAGTGCGGACTTATTAGCTCCACTAGCGACAACACCTGTGAAACGCAGGACATTGTGGAAGATGCTGCTGACTCGGACGTCGAGATGGAGGAGCCGGAAGAGTCTGACGCTGAGAGCGAGGAAGAATTGAGTCAAATGGCTGAGGTTGAGTCCGATGACGGTGACGAATCTGCGAGCGAAGAGGAAGATGCCGAGCAGGACAACCAAGAAGAAGAGGATGTTCCTGCTGCTCCTGCGAAGAAGACAGCACGTAAAAAGACTGTGGCAAAGGCCTCGACCAAGCCGCAACCCACCAAGACTGTCGCGAAGCAACCAGCTAAGCCAGCCAACCAGGTGCAGAAAAAGCCGAAGCCAGATATCCCTCCGTTCAAGATGGCGTTCGGAAAGCTTGAGAGCGAGCTGAAGCGCCGTGGATGGTACTGGAAGAATGGAGGTCTGCAGTGGAACTACTACCAGCCTTACTGCAAGTCAAAGGACAAAAAAACTCTTATCGCTAACGAGGACTACTTCTGTGGTCGGGAGCAGCTTGAAGCGTATTTGGAGCGCAGTGGCGAGTTCGAGCATATTTGCAGAAAGCTCGAAGACGATCACATCAGCCAATATTTCACTGGAAGTGACAGCGAAGATGACCAAGTCGAAGTGAAGACCTCAGTAAAGCCCCCAGCCCGTACCAAGAAGCATACGCCAAAGCCAGCCCCCAAGCGAAGCGTCCGTGGTCGATCCAAATCTGTGAGTCGCTTCCGACGTGCTCGCTCCAAGTCAACAGCTCGGGGATCTGCTGGCTTGTCGTCCCAAACTACACTTGCAGAGGTCAAATTCGGCGAGATTTGGCGTGTTCTGTCGGACGATGGCTGGCATTACCGCTATGGTGTCCTCGAATGCGACTACTTTAAGCCTCACTGCGCCACCATCAAGGACGGCGTTCCAGGAATCGACTACTTTCAGACGAAGGACCAATTGATCGAGTACTTGCAAACCAGTGGACTCTGGGACAAGACGGCAGCGCGTGTGCGAGCTGAAGCTGCTATGGACTCGGACGAATTCATGGAGGATAGTGATCCCGAGACGGCAACCCCCGTCCAGAAGAGAAAGCGCGAGGAAAGCACCCCTGCCCCACAGCGTGAAGCCAAGAAACAAAAGGATGCTTTCCAAACTCCAATTGACAAGCGATTGGCAACAGCAGATCTCAGTGACGATGAAGACATGGATACCATTTCACCTGATGCTGCAGGAGTGAAGAGCAAGGAGAACAACGGAACCGGTCGACAGCCACTCCGCAATCTCGCAAACAGTTTCACTCCGTCGCCAAGTGCCGCAACGAAGGAAAAAAGCTTGCAGCGTCCTGGTGGCAATGACGCTGCGATGAAGTCTGCGAAGGAGCCTCCCGGTTCCTTGATTCAAAGCGCCATCCTGAAGCTCACGTCGTCGTATATCCCAACCAAGCTCCGTCACCGCGAGAAGGAGTTCGCAGAGATTTACAAGTTCTTCGCTGATTGCTTTAACGGAGAGGAGAAGACCAGTTTGTATATCTCTGGAGCACCAGGGTGCGGCAAAACTGCTCTGTTGAAGGCGACTCAATCGGAGATTGACGAACTCTACCAGGTAAGACTGCGGTGGTAGCTGGTTCGACTGTTTATTTGATGAACTAACTTAATTGTGTGTTTTGCAACGATAGGAATGCTGTTCTGAGCAAGCAAAGGAGCCTGTTCGTTGCCATGTCAACGCCATGGCTCTTGCTGACTCGTCAGCTCTTTTCTGTAAACTCGCGGGAGCTCTTACGAAGAAGTCGTTCTCAGCAGGAAACGAGGCTTTCGAAGCTATCGAGCGCGCCACAAACCGCGAGCTCAAGTCCTCCAAGACGATGATCCTCATCCTGGACGAGATCGATATTCTTCTCAAGAACAACGGCATCGAGAACGACCTGTGTAGACTCTTTGAGCTTGCTCACCGGCCTTCCAATAGCTTCCTCCTCGTCGGCATTGCAAACCAGGTGGACTTCACTGAGCGTCACTTGCCGTTGCTACAGCAACGACTGCCGAACTGTTCGCCACGGGTTGTCATCTTTGAGCCGTACAGCCACCATACTATCGAGCAGATTCTGACCGACCGTCTTGGAGGACAAACTGCGGCAGCGAAGATGGTAAGTCCGCATGGTATCTCCTTCTTGGCTCGGAAGATCGCGTCGACGACCGGAGATATCCGACTAGCAGTCGACACCTGTCGTCGCGTTCTGCAGCACAAGATGGAACAAACCGGCAAGGAGAACTCGGAGAACCCGTCGGAGGATGAATTGGGACGCCCGCTGCCCCTTACGGACATGCTGCGTATCATCAAGCACGCGTTGGAGTCCAAGAGTGCGCTAGTGATCCGTTCACTGCCGCGCAACCTGCAGATGATTCTGTTCGCTTCTACTCGACTGCTCATTGTGGCAGCAAACCGCGTTGCTGCGAATGGAAACAAGAACACGCCGCTCTTGAGTGTCGACGAGCTGTACTCCTGTTACTGCGAGGTGAGCAAGGACGCAGGAGTCTTCAAGCCTTTGTCAGAACGCGACTTTAGGACCGCGCTGGACACACTGGGAGAGGAAGGCCTCATCGCCGAGGCGGAGCTGAGGAAACACCTGATCAAGCTTCTGTTCAGCACCAGCGAGCTGCTGCAGAGCTTCCGTAAGGACCCGTTCTTCTCGCGACTTGTATAACCGTGATGGGTGTCGTACTTCCGTTTACAGAGCTTGAAGATATTAACACCTCATAATACTATGCTTTTTGCACGTTTAACGAAGTATTACTTTTTCGATGGAGACACACGCCTGTCCACAGTTCAGCGGAGGAAGCTGGAGACACCCAGATCCATGGATACCTTTCGGGCTTGAAGCGAGTGTTTCTGAACCGTGTAGAGTCATGTGAGTAGGACCTTGTATCCTCTGCTCATCCAACCCTCTCTCTTCAACGAGTCGTTGTGCAGCTCTGCGTCGGAAACGAAGTATGCATTGCATACTATGCAATAATCGATAGACGAAGCGAGTAGGTTGGGGGTGGATGATAATAATCAAAATCGTGGTAAATTAGTGGATCTACATATCTATCGATACAACACGGGCCATCTACGCCGAGTGGCCGCTGTGGGTGGAGTAATATACTTGTGGTGTTTTGGCTTGAAGAGAAGCCTGATTTATAACTTGACGCTCGGCATGATTGCTTCCCACACTCCCGTCCTTGTAGGAAACACTGCCAGCGTTTTCTTTTTAGTTGTTGAGCACGGAGCGAAGCCAATGCTTGAGCGATGTGTGCGTGTTGGACTTGGCGATGAAGATCCGCTCGTTGTTCTTGCTGTTCTTACTGTCGCCGTTCCATGATCGACTGCGAGCCAATTGCGCATCTGCGTCTTTAGAATTTGATGCCGACTCGAAGGATTCTCCACTAGAAACCGTCAGCTTGTGCTCAGAGGAACTCGACGTCAAAATGGGTTGCTGAGTGCTGGCGTTACGGGATAGAAGCAGCTTGACGGTCTGGAACTGACTCATGCGACTGGCCTTGAGCAGCGGCGACTCGTTGTCTGCCGTCATAGCATCCACGTTAGCTCCATGGTCCAGTAAACACGCAGCGACTGCTGTGTTGCCTCGCTGAGACGCCAAATGGAGGGCCGTACAGCGATCGTGAGTCACGCCGTCCACCGGTACCTTACCAACTTCCAGCAACAATTTCACACACGCTAGTTGGTTCTCCTGAGCAGCGATATGCAGTGGCGTCTCACCACCGGGACCCACCGCTGTACACTTGGCCCCTTTCTCCAGCAGAGACTGTACCACAACCTCTTGACCACGAGCACATGCCAAGTACAGAGGTGGAATGCCGCTTCCGTCTCTTGCATGAACATCAGCACCCATCTTGATCAACAGAAGAACGGTCTTAGCGCTGCCATTCTTCACTGCTGCATGCAGTAGCGAGCTCTGTGAGGTCTTGTCGCGTGCTTCAAGCAGCAGTCGGAGGTCGTACATCTTGGTCAAACACTTAATCAGACGATAATCCGGCAAGTTGACGGCGTCGAACGCACACTTGACCACATTCTGCTTAGAAACGGTGTTCTTGCCTTCGCCCAAAAGGACGCGAATCAGCTCTGGGTGTTTAACTGCCGCAGCGGAACAGGCCTTCTGCAACGTAGAGCTGGAGATCAGCGGCACGTAGACACGTTCATTGGCTTCCGCTCCTTTCTTATGGAAAAGGTGATGCACTGGACTGGCCTTCTTCTTGACATCCGCATTGGCAAAGTTCACAAGGGTACGGACCACATCCTCATGACCGTGGCTAGCTGCCATCACCAACGCGTCCTCGTCAATCCGAGCGCCGTACTGCATCAATAGCTCCAATATATCGCACTTGCGGTTCTTGCAAGCAATACTCAAGCAAGTCTGCTGTTTCCGCTTGCGCGTAAACATTGGGTCGATACTGCGTCTCCTGTGGTTGCGAATATGGGCGGACAGAGTCTGCTTCGCTCCGGGCTTCGCGCTGCCTGCACTGTTGGGATCTGCGTGGCGCTTGAGCAACAATTTGACTATCCTAAGGTCACCCGCTTCACAGGCCACTTCGAGTGGCGTACGGCCACATGCACAGCTTGAGTTTACGAGCTTAATCAGGTCTGCACCGAAATAGAAGCTCAGTAAATGCTTGAGCGCCTGTAGCTCGGCTCTCCTGCAAACAGCGTGGATGGGAGACTGCATGTCCTTGACGTCGTCCGAGGGCTTTAAGCTCTGACAGCTGCACTGATTGCTGAAGCTCTGTTCAAGCTCCTGTTCAGGTTCCGTCTGCATGAACGAGACCTTCTTTTTCTTCTTTAGCTTTTCCTTGGGCGCCTCGCTATCCTCACTGCATGTGGCGCTGCGTTCCAGTGTCTGCAAGTTCACGCTGGCTGACGTGGACCGATTGCGCAGGATGGAGGTGGGGCTAGAGTTGCGTGGAGGAGACTCTAACGTCACGGGCTCGGGGGCTGTACGGAAGGCCTGACGCAGCTCGATGGTCTGGTGCTCAAAGTCCACACAATGACGCTGTCGCGAGAGCTCAGCGCGCCGTGGGGCGTTGAGTATGCTGCTGGCCGCTTCGACGTCACGCATAGGCCGTAGTTTCGTTTGTGAAGACGGTAGAACGTCGAGGTCGTCGCCCAATACGAGCTGGAGCTGCATGCTATGTTTATTCCTCCGCTAAAATCCGTCCCACTTTTCTAGAAGAACGGTATTAGGCACAGAATGCAGTCTGCGCTGATGGAAGTGGACACTACAACGACGCTAGTGGTGTGCACGAGGCACGCGGGTGCTGGCTGGGAAATTGCGAAATGCGATGGCCGGCGACCAGTGTGAAGCTTACGCCAGGCCGCACTGTTGTATCTCGGATGGTTTTTTTGCATTGTTTTTGGAGCTTCGTTTCAGTGTACTAACTGGACCCGCAGAGTGAATTTCACTGTGAAAAGTGGCCATACGGAAAATAAAGCAAATGACCCCTTCGGGACTTCTCCCGCCCCAAGCGCACTGCGTTGCACCCTACTAGCGACACGAAGACGGCAATAAAAAAAAGGAACTCCTCGGAAGCGTACATGTACCACATGACAACAATACCATTGCACATTTTGACAAGCAAAGTGCATTATTTTTAAACAGGGGAATTAGCCTCAACGCTGAAGCCGGTGACTCGGTTTCACTATGTCTTGTCGCCTGTCTCCAACTTCAGTTGAAGACATTGCACAAGTAAATCTGCCAAAACCAAATGGGCAACACGAAGGTTGGTGGACTTACATCCGTGTTTTGGGGCTCGCTGGCCTCTCTCCTGAGGTACAGAGAGATAAAACTGCAGCCGTTTTGGCTGGACGGCTGTAGGTGCTGTTGGAAAATTGTAAGGTGCTGCTGAGCCGCCTGAACTGACGTGTATACCAGTAAATCCGACCGGTGTACTCTCCGGAGAAAGCGAGAGAATGGTTGACCGAACGGGGTTGTCCTCTTGTCGTAGTGGCACTGCCACTGGCAGCCTCGGTGAACCCGTATGGCCATCACGAGCGATTGTCTGTCGTGCTATCGTTCCGCAGGACACGAACACGAACCGAGTGCATGGACACAACACGTTGTCACTTCAACTTCGATGAGGTCACTTTAGGGCTGTTATCAGGCTATAACTACTGCTTTTGCCGGGTGCCGAAGCCATGGGCAACTTGCGGAGACGATGCACTTAAGCTTGAGTTCTGGGAGGAAAGCGGTTACCGCGATATCCGGAAGGATGACGCCGACTCGGCACTGTCGAGGCAGAAGGTGGCAGACTGATGCTGACAAGTTGGAACATATGCACGATCTCCGTCTATTAATAAGGTAGACGCGTACATATCTGCGATACACCAGGCTTACGAAGATACATGTTCTTCAGTGAAGCAGGTACAATACACTAACACCGGCTTCATCCCGACTCATGAGGCTTGCGCCGCGATGACGACCAAGCCTGTCCGTCTGGACTTGAATGCTTGCTACGACGAGCTGTTGGTCATCATCATCTTGCCTGTCGCTTGGCGCTCACCACTTAGATGTCAGTGAAGCCGTGTCAGAGTTCCACCTTGCGTTGGCGGAACACTCCTGTGAGACCCAGCCTGCGCCGAAGTAGACATGTCGTGTTTATAATACAATGCATTAATCCTGGTAGTGCTACGAGTAGTTTAATTGTGCAAACACCAATAGTAGGTACCGATTCATTACACATTTCAAATGAGAAGGTCTTATTTTCCTGCCAATTTGTATAAACTTTACAGGTTTAAGACCGAACAATATCAATAACAGATGCAGTGGATTGGCTATAATTATTAAGGCAGATGATTCCATTTATATCTCTCCGTTTCGATCTCCAATCATGAAGCACCGCAAGACTTACAGCAGCAAGGAGAAAATGGAGTTCGAGAAGGAGGCGACATAGGCGAGAAAAATGGCATTCCTGTCCGAAACGTCACGATCTCATCGACGCGGTGGTTCGTGCGAGCGGAATTAATACTATCAGCTAGGAAAAAGCTCTTCAAATGGCTACATTAGCATGGACAAGTTGCAACTTTGAGCAAAATATTTTTTTGGCTTTCGTAGCTTAGTTGTGGGATTTCCCGTTGAATCATGTAAAACTGCACGAGAAACTCCACAAATTTTAGCACAACTGCCCGCCTTAAAACAGCTTCCTGGTTAAGATACATGGAAACAGTGCAGCACGACATCTTACTGCCACCTGCTCGTCAGCGCAAGCAGAGTAGAAAACAAAAAACAAAGACAGTAGCAGGTAGACTGTTAACACGCGAGATGTTCCAGCAACCAGACCAACCCTCCGAGCCAATGACCCAGAATGAAAAACGAAACACAGCTAAGAGTAAGAGAGCTTCAAGTAAACCATCGAGGGAACAGCACCACGAGGAGTAGAAGCAGGAGCATGAGCACGACCACCAGCGCGTACAGAGCCAGGATCAGCGGTATGAGATGGAGCTAAATGCAGAAGTGTCAACCCAACAAACAGTTCTGAATGTGGTAAGGTTGTAGATTTTTTTTTTTTTTTAATTCACTTCATTCATTGATCGTTCTCGTGATTATCATTTATAAAGCTCAAATCGGAATTTGCAGAAATTCCAGTGTACGTATGAGAACGTACATAAAACGTCGTCGTCCTTACTAAACTCAAGTCAAATTTGGACTTAAACTGGCACATCTGCAAAATGGGCTCGAACTTTAAGCCGCTACTACAAGGTAAAAAATAGTTCATTCACGTTACTCTGCACCACAATTCACTGTTGAAATCCTGATGGTTACAGACGTGTTTGTAAAACGATCGCTTTCGATGTCGGTGACAATTTATGCGCTCTCAAACTCAGCCTTCTGTCACGGACTTAAACTGGCAGTTTACCTTAGCTCACTTTACGTAAATGCAAGATGTTTTCTTAATAATTTTTTCTCGGTTTTCTTACACAGCTAGGTGTTGTGCAAAAGTATCAACATTAATAGTAGATCTTAGTAGCTGTAAAGAGGTCTGTAAACAAAGCTATCGGGGCTGTTGAGGTGTGTGTCGATCGCACGTAGCGCCGCCAGGCAGCGTGGCATCATCCGTCTACCTCTAGCCCTTGCTCGGTAGAAGCTGCAGTGGGTTCAAGGCCTTGCTGCTGCCACTTGACACAGCATCGAGACGCTGAGGCTAAAAATAAAATTTATATGGATATCTTGGTCTAATGAGAATTGATTGGTAGATTCTAAATCTGCAAATAAATAACTTGTGCTGCGACTGTGGAAAATAAATATCTGCATCAGGTGTGTGCGAAGCGCAAAGTGAGTTTGCGTCGGTGACACCGGTTTGAAGACAGCTGTAACGGGGTTACATGGTGTGGAACACACAGGGGTACGAAGTACCCGGAGAGTTAACAAACTCTCAGTACATAAGTTGGAGAGTTAACAAGGTCTCTCAGTACGTTGGCTGAAAGCCACACGTTATGCATTTGATTAGGTTTAACTATGCTAGATAGTTAAAGAGATACATTTACCCCTAGGCGGCTTGGCCGCAATAATAGTAAATAAAACGCTTCTGGTTTTGAAGCATAAAAGTTAAGGTGTTAACTTTGAGCCCTGGTCTTGGGCTGTAAGTGTCCTTTGGATAAGGAACTTAGTATTAGTGACTCTTTGAGTCGAACGTCTTCCTCTGACGCTAAAGCTACGGCAGCCCCGCTGCACTTGGTAGCACTTGTAGTCAATCCCGCTCCTGAGTCGGTTGACTATATCCTCTGCGAGGATGGAACACCCCGTGTTCGCGAATTTGCCCCCGGCGCAGCAGGACGCGCTTACTAAGCTTATGTCCTTGCTTGGCCCGGAGGGCGTGGCTCATCTTGCATCGCAAGGTCCAGAGGCGGTCACTGCCAGGCTGGAATCGTTCTCCCGCTACGAGAACGCGCTCTTGGAGCATGTCCAAGAGAAGATGAGCGCCGCAACGGCGGCGGCGTCGATGACGCGTGAAGAGTCTATGAGACTGAAACCGCTCATGGTGAGCGTAAAAACCTTCGAGGGGAAGGATGGAGAGAATCTCCTTCTCTGGACCCGTGAGGTCGAGATGGCCATGGGATCGGCCCTGATCCAGTCTGAGTATCAGCGCGTGGCGCTGGCTATCTCTAGGCTTGGAGGTCGCGCTCGCGAATGGGCACTAACGTGCGGCACGTCTGTTGACGCTGCATTTCCCACTTGGGATCAGCTGAAGCAACAGCTTTCGCGCGTGTTCGCGCCGCCTAATCAGGCGTACCGTATCCGGTCAAAGTTCCTTGCTACCCGCCAGGGTAAGAAGGATTTATTAAACTATGTCCAAGAGTTGAGAACTCTTATCGCCGGAATGGCGGCGGACCCTCTTCCGGAACTGGTCAGCGTGACCGTGTTCATGGAGGGACTTCGTGTGAGCGCAGCTCGAACGGAAGTGTTCCGTGTACACCCTAACTCTTTTGAAGAGGCGGTGGATGTGGCATTGAATGCCGAGCACAACTTCAGGTCGGCGCGACCTGGTTGGAGCGCTGGTAGCGCACGCTCTTCGAGCGGTCCAGAGCCGATGGACCTCAGCTATGCTGAAGATGAAGAAGCGGAGCTTCTTGCTGCGGAGCAGCGCGCCGGCATCCGCCGATGCTTTGTGTGCAATAGCACTAAGCACTTGAGGGCCTATTGCCCTCTGCGCAAGAAGCGCGAGGCTCCGGCGAGCCAACCCTCCGGGTCATCGCCGGGAAACGGCAACTCCCAGTAGGCGCGGGGCGGCCTACTGGGGAAGAACTGAGTTCTGTTGTGCCTCGAAGAGGTAGAGGACAACGGGGCTCAGCCCCGAAGAGAGCTGAGCTCTCTTACGAGAAGAGTGTGTGCAAGCCGGGCTTGCTGGTCGTTCAAGCGAACGTGAAGGGCTTTGCAAAGCCATGGAGAGTCTTGATTGACTCGGGAGCCTCGGGCAACTACGCCCGTCGCTCCACCCTGGAAGGGAGTCAGCTGTATGCTGAGGCACTGGAAGTGCCAACGAGAGATACGATCTCTGTCCGTCTCGCGACGGGGACACTGGTAACTGTGTCGAAGGTCTCTGTCGACCTTGGAGTGAAGTTTGAGAACTTCGATAGCGTGGAACGCTGTTTGGTCTTAGACCTGGATGCGAGGTATGACCTCATTCTTGGCAT